TAATCCAATTGGAAGTGTAAGCAAAGGTGATTCACCTATGTGGTGATCCTCATCGCTTTGTAAAACGAAAGATTGATCAGTTCTTTTGTTTGCATTTATTCCTTTTAAAACTACCCTACCATGACATACTCACCTGGTTCCATGCATCTTTCACAGCTGGAATATCCACCGTGCGATTTTATGCACTGTACGTAAGCACGGGCTGGAGAATCACATATAAAGCTATGCACCTGAATAGTATACATTATGTTATTAAATGTGAGGCCTGAATCCAGTAATCATTTAAGTTCTTTTACAAAATCTTCTAAGTATAATGTTAAAGGCTTAGGTTTTGAATATCCATAAAAAAGTCCTATAATAAATGGGGATGTTTTACTTCGAGTATTTTTTAAGAGGCATAGAATTGGCCAAACCTGTTTATTAGAACTGTGGTACAGAGGTAAGCCATCGATATTAAAACTAAGTGAAATAGTATTATTATCAAAAACCATTCCATAAGACCATAAGACAGAAATGATATTAACCGATTTTCTAAACCAAAGTGACAATATTGACCATTATCGTCCAATTGTTTACAGATAAATGTAAATGGGTTTTTTAAAAGGGTACGGCTATCCCGGGGTAATTCTGGGTGTAGAACATGCAAGAGGTTTGTAAGGGCAGAATGTGTTACATGGTTTGTAATTGCCCAAAGACGTATACTATTAATAAAACTGTTTTTATTTTCACTGCAGTCATTATTTGTGTTATTAGAATGAACTAATTCATCATTGGTAAAAGTTACTATTTCTGTTTCAAGAAAGTTGATTTCTTTAGCATTATTGGAATCACTTACTTCATTATTAGTAATAGTGGCTACTTCTGTTTCGACAAAATTGATTTCATTTTGACCCTCGCCATCTATGTGAGATTGTGTTGCAACATTTTGTTTTATTTCAAGGTTTGAATTATGTTTTAAAGTTTTCAATGCCTTCGCTACTCTTCTGTATGTTTGCCTTTTACCAACCAAATCTTTAAATTTATAGTTTGGTTTATTATTTGACATTTTGAATAAAACTGGTGTTAAACTAGGTAGCGAAATAACTAATAATATAGCGACACTAATCACTATCGAAAACTTAAGCTATTTAAGTTTAATGTTAGTACCTATTAAGGTGTGCGCCGATCACGATTCTGTCTTTGCCTCAATGTATTTGCCTCTCTTTAGGGAGCGTGTTTCAGCCAAGTTTTTATATATCCGCAGATCTCATCAGCTGTTATTTTAGGAGTGGATTTGCACAGCTCCTTCAAAAAGTGACTAATATTATTCTGTTAACCTTAACCTATATAAAGTACTTACTAACTACAACAGTTTTCAATTGTTTGTCGTGGAATGGTTGTTTTTGTGACCTAGTGCCGTAAAAACTATAGTTTTTTGCAAGGTTGTCACAAAATATATTCCTTAGGATATTATTCGTTTTAGAGGACACATCACGCCCACCTAACGTTGAAAAGTACAGCACCTGGTAAAGAAATGTGTTTACATTATTACTTGCAATTGTTTAAGATTAATATTCTTACCAAATTTGTTAGGTGTCTATCATTTTGTAAGTATTCTTCGATTATGGGAACATCTACTTGTCGAACTATCGGAAATGTGACAGGAAGATCATTAGGCAGCTCATATGTGGATGATGACGTACTGTGAGACGCCTGGCTTCTAATCCATTTAAGAATCTGATTGTTCTGTTCCTTTATATGCAGTAAAGTTGGCATAATATTATTTAAATCTAAATCCAAAATTGATGTTAACAAAATACAACGCACAATAATTCTCACCATTACCTAAATTCGTGTGTTCGATACGAGGTTCGATATGAGAATCAGAGAAGCTAGGGGTGTTCGTCCTTGAATTTGGATCCAATGAAGAGACTGATGGTGTACCAACATCATTGGCTAAAAAAGACCTCTTGGGAGTTATTGCGGTAGGCAAATTAACAACTTGCAGGTCAGAAAATTGGTTTTCTGTAACGAAATAATTTAAGATGAAAGACATATTCACAACAGATATATGTCAAAGGCAAAAGTAATAATCCCGAGACTCCTTAAAAATTTATCTTTTGTAATATATATTACCAAGTCTACATTAATATTAACTAATTTGAACAGAAGTAGAGAACAATGTGTTGGAGAAGAGATACACTAGCTACCATTTCTGCAGTTGAGCTATGAAACAATCATTACTTTTGTCTTTGAAGGCACCCAGTATTAATTTAGCCAAAAGCGGTCACCATGTTAGAACAAGGTTTCATATAAACAAATCATTATAGGTGTGTAGTCAATTATCAAGATCATTGAGTAGGTACGTAACATAAGACATTGTTTGCAAAAAAATTTGTATAGTATAAAGAATAAAAGTATTACATATTTTGAATATTTTAAAGTTATCCGATTACATTAGCGGTACATTTAAAAAATCGATCTGTTACGTTGGAAAACACAAATATATGATATAAGGTCGTCCTCCGATTATAGATTTGCAGGTTTTATATTTATAAATTTCTTTGTTATTGCTTCAAAATAACATATGTAAGTAGTCGAAGTGCACCGACGTCATATTGACGTAAATATTAGTATTAAAGTACCGTTAAACTTCGTCGACCATTGGTCATTCGACGTCATTTCCGAAGGATTACGTCAAACTGACGTCTATATGACAACACTCTGCTACCTGGGCTGTATGCAGAAAGTAGGTATTTTTGCAACGTTTAGGGTTTTATCTTTTATGAGATCATTATCACATAAGATCCCTTTGAATTATCAGTAAAACTGTACCCCGTATCTCAATAACTAAAAACAACTACAGTCCACATTCGTTACAATTAAGTATTTTATTTCATACTGTCCGGTAGATGTTCGATTACACTATCATTTTGAGTCCGGTAGGTGAGTTATTACAGCATCGGAGCCGGTAAGTGTCGCTAAGCAACACTTACCGGACTGTTATTTGTATACATCAAATTTGACATCTTCACACAATTAATTGAAAACCCCAACATAAATTTGACTGTAATTCTTTATTTCAAACATTAACATTGATTGTAATGAAACAATTTGTATTGCCCTCAACACTACGCCTGGGTTATTACTGGATGTCGAGTTAGTAATGTTTGATTCCTTCTGCTGTAGAACTTCAATGAAATTTTCGCCGCCTTGTATCAGTTGTATCATACGGGCAATGTAAACTTTTCCTTCTACCGAGCCTTCGATGTATTTTTCTGCCGTCGATGAGCTTTTCCATGCTCCATGACGCTTTAACACCGATACCCAGGCAAAAAAATCTCAATTCAAAAACTTACTGCGTCCAAAAAGTATGCCAACATGACTTTTTCCTCTACTTGTTTCGCCCCATGTTCGTTCCTCAATTGGCAAAACACTTAGTACTCTTTTTCATACCTTGCGGCCGACTTCTTAGGAACCAACTTTTCGGTTGCTTCATGAGATTTCGACAGGATTGTATCGGGAACAGTGGAACATCCCACAACGTTTATAACGTCAATTTTTCAGTGAAAAAAATTCAATTGTCAACAAACTACAAACTATAGCAACGGCCGTTGCCACAGAAACAAGGTAATGCGATTTTTACAATATTAACCGCTTTCTTTTACTTTTGGATTTTGAATCCAGATCAGTGCAGTTCCGATCGCAACTTCTGAACGTAAAAAAATTAAAAGAACATGATTTTGTAAGGTTGGGTTATTTGCGATAGAATCAGTTGCAAAAGAACGTAATTCACGTCTGACATTTTTTATTTGTTAGGTTAGTAAATAAACCAGATGGATATTAACAAATTTGTTTTGGTAACAAACCATTATTATTTATTACATTCCTGACTATCGTTTATTTCACCTTTAGGATCAATTGTTAACCCCAATGGATGCAATGAGTACTTCAAGTAGTAATAGTAGTGACGATGATGAAAGGGACAATCACATAAGAATTAAGGATTATGTTGAAACAATAGTTCTGAATTATGCAGTGGATGACTTTAAAAGTCATTTTAGAATGGACCGAACTAGTATTTCCACATTAATTGAACGCTATGATCCTAATGTCTCACTCAAACAGGGTGGTTGGCCTCGTGTTACTAGTACCAAGGCAGTGTTATTGACTGTGTGGTACTTGGCTAACATTGAAACTTTCCGACAAATTGGGGACAGGTTTGATGTCACATTAAGTTGTGCACATGGTACTGTAAAAGTTGTTACGGAATATCTTATTAGGATTAGTGGTGACTATATAAAGTGGCCTACTGATGTTAAAGCTGTTGATGAATCTATAAGCTTTGAAAAAAAGAAAAATATAAGTAATGTAATTGGAGCCATAGATGGAACCCATTTTAGAATTAATAGACCTAAAGTTCCCCCTGAAGATTATTGTAACAGGAAAGGATACCATAGCATCATTATGCAAGGGGTTGTAAATAGCAAAATGGTATTTATTGACATTTATGTAGGAGAGCCTGGATCTATGCATGATGCTAGGGTTTTTCGACGTTCTGCCTTATATAAAACAGCAACAGAAAATCCTGCAGACTTGTTTTATGGCAAATACAAATTAATAGGAGATTCTGCATACCCTGCTTTAGACTGGTTGAGTACTCCAAAAAAGGATAATGGTCATCTAAGTAATGATGATAAAGATTTTAATTACCGGCACTCTAGCACTAGAATTGTGGTCGAAAATGCGTATGGTCATTTAAAAGGTCGTTTCAGGAGGCTTCAAAAATTTGATAATCTTACGACAAGTTTCATAATAAATTGTATAGGGGCATCTTGCGTGTTACACAATATATGCCAAATGCGTAAAGATTTTAATGACGATATATTTATGGAAACTGTATAATATAATAAACTAATATCTAATAACATAAACACAGCTAAATAAATCTTAAGAAACTTATTATCAATTCTTTTAACATAAAAAAAAAACTTATTGTGAATCTTGTTCGTTTGCCATTATCTTTAAATATTTTTCCAATAAAGTAACTTTTTTTTCTTCTAGTTTAATTTTTGCTTTTTCCAATTCCATTCTTTCCTTATGGCGCACCTCTTTTTGTTTCAACCTTTCCGTTGCCAAGTTATATACCTTACGCTTCTTTAATGGTGTTTCATTAATTGATTGTGTTGGCGTAGATGTACCGCTTGTTCCTTCACTCTCTATATTCTCTTCTTTGTCAGTATCTGCATGTGTCTCTAATCCAGGGACTGTTGTTCTATTGATGCCTACATTAATAACAGCTTGTGGTTCAGAGGTGATGGCTTATCGCCAATAATTTCGTCAATATGGTTATAATATTTATAATGTTGTGCCCCCCTTCCACTTTTCTTGGGGCCCTTGTTATCTTTTATAGACCTGTATACCCGTAGTAAATTGGTCCACTTCCTTTCCAACTTTTCGGGTTTGCGCTAAAAGAATTATATTACACATTTATCATTTACGATGTTACCAATTTCTTACAAAATAATTATGTGCAGACATTTGCTCCGCTATTATTTCCCAAACATGCTTCCGTTTTTTTGCATTCGTAAAGGCATCTTTATTTTCATGATATAAAGATATCAACAATAGTGTTTCGGCATCAGACCAAGATGCTTCGCTTGACTGTGAATCTTCACTATATGTAGAAGTACTGGGTGTAAGGTACCTTTCTTCTGGTGACTTTTCCACTACAGTGTTTTGCAAAGTTTCCTTATGGTTATTTAGTAATTCTTGGGCAAAAATCATATCTAAAAGCATTAAAATTGTAATTATTGACATTTTTCATTTAATTAAAACCTGTTGTGGCGAGATTATAATCCTCCTGGGATACAACAATATCATAAACAACATCTGCCTCTTGTAAGCTTAATGTTAAGTTTCCACTTCCGGAGCACATTTTGGCAAATGCAACAATTTTTGCAAATAAACAAGAAATAAAAAGTAAGGTTAGAAAATTGCGATTGAATCCGTTGAATCTGTTTGAAACTTTGATTTGGGGCGGAAAGGGGAATGCGGATCGCGTTCCGAAAACGAGGTTAAGGGGGGATTGATCGTATTGGCAAAAGAACGCGTTCATTTGATCTGAATGCGACATAACGTGCTTGGATCGTAAAATCCGTAGCAAAAGAAAGCGGTTATAATGAAATTTTGTAATCTTTGAAATGAAATAATGATACAAAACAGACTTACAGTATGAAATAAAATACGTTACGATATACGTCCGGTAGTACTTGTAACAGTTCTCGTTTAAGACATTCTTGACTCGGCTCCTGACGTCGCCTCGTCCATAATGTCTAACTCGTACTGTTACAAGTAACCTACCGGACTTATAACGTAAATAACTATTAGGCTATTCATAATAAGGGTGGAGCAATAAATAATTGTTGGGGTTTCATAGATGGCACTACACGTGCAATGTGTCGTCCTTCTATGGAACAAGAAGAGTATTACTCTGGCCATGTTATAATGATGGGATCGAGAGAGTTTATTAATAACGATGCACGTTCATGGAGTGCTGAATGACGAATGCTTTATTCAGATTCCGTGTCTCAACTCACGCTTCTACAACATCTCCCTTTTTTACATTTAACTTTCTACAACTAATTTTAACATGCTTGACTATTACTACAAATTCATTCTTTGCGGTGGTTTGACCCAGGGGGGTGACACTTTAAATCGCGTGTTTGGTCAGTGAAATTGTGCTGCCACCTGAGAGACCGATAGGCAAACTATTCAATTATCATGGAACTTTACCAGTCACGTGCCATGTAGATGTCTGTTAATCCGACACGGGTCCGTTGATGGTCCGTGACCGGATGTTTACGCTTTGCCCATTTGCAAATTGTTATTTGTTACGTGCACGTGTTTTATATGTACGTTGTGTTTTCTGTTGTTTTTTCCTCAAAAGCGAAATAGACGTTATTTTATTTGTGTTTTACCTTAAGCTGGTGTATACTTGTGTTTAATAAGTATATAATACTGAAAATGTCAACTCAAACCCGATCCTGTTGTGTTCCTAACTGTATAAACAGTGGAAGTAGAAGGTAATTGCAATCTATTCCTTGTCAACAATCTAACTAGGATTAATTTTTTTTAACAGATTTAGTTTTCCCCTCACGGAGTACATTCGGAATGTGTGGTTACAGCGGATTGGTAACGACAAACTATTTACAGTGAAACCTCAAAGTTTAAGCTGGTATAAAATTTGTGACATACATTTTGATGAGAGATGCATTTCAAATAATAGGTTGATTCGTGGAGCATTGCCAACATTACATTTACCCTGTAAGTTTCTTTGCCACTGAAGCGTACTTTTTGATTTTATATTACTTTATTTCAGTGTACGTTGGAGATGAATATTTGCATGTTCACCAGCCTTTGACTACATGTGCTATTAAGACACCAGAAAGTGTTCGAGGTGGGAACTTACTAATATGGCCTATTTTTTGCACTAATATAATTTTGTTTTGTAGCCGCATTAGCCTGCCAATCAGCTTCTCTTGATTCACCTGTTGGTTCAGTTACGCCAGTCATTAAATCATATGGAAAGGTAACTGTAGAGAGAACATTATTTGTCTCCAAACCAGCTTCTATAATTGCACCAATTCAAATGGATGTTGATGAATTGGAGGGGATACAATTAATAAGTGATGAGGCTGTACCATCAACATCCCAATTTTGTTCGACGAAGGCGCCAAGATCTACTGTTATTCAACGTAAGTTTAATGTCGAAACTAATAAGTAAATGTGCAGTAGTAATTTAACAACAGTGGTGTAATTATATTGTGGTAGTTACAATACTTCAACACTTGTAATTTTATATCATTTTAACTGAAAATGTTAGCACACAAAAGAGAATATGCGTCACACTGAGATTTGTGCATTTTATTGGCATGATGGTCAAGTTAAAATTAATAATTTTTTGTTTTAGGTTGTCGAAGAAAAAATAAATGTCAATATTTAGGGATTGGATCAGACTGTCAGGAGCAGATCCGTTTGCTTAAATATTATAAAAGGAAAGTAAAACAGTTAGATGCAAGGCACGTTTCTTTAAAGAAAAAATATCAGGCTATCACAAACAACAAGAATTTTCATTATCTTTTTAAGTGCGTGAACAAAACAACTTTTAATTTTGTTTTAAATCAAATGAAAAATCAAAAGTTAAAAGCAAAAGGTAGAAGGTTTACTTTGGATGATAAAATTTTTGCAATTTCTGCCTATAAGCAAGGTCCAAAGTTGTATAGATTTTTATCGACAAATTTTTTTGCTTTACCATCACCGAGAACTTTAAAGAGAATGTTGGCTCAAATACCATTGTATTGTGGATTGAATGTACACATTTTTGAACATCTACAAGAAATTGTACATAAAATGAAAAGGCTTGATCGATATTGTATTTTAATGTTTGACGAAGTATCTTTGCGACCTGGGATTCACTACAATCAAAAAGGCGATTTCATTGAGGGATTTGTGGACTTGGGCGGTAATGAACGCAGGGCTTTATTTGCTGATCACGCAACGGTTTTTATGTTAAAAGGCATCCACAGAAAATGGAAGCAACCTATTTGTTTTTGTTACTGCGAGTTTACTATGAAAACTCCAGATTTAGTTGTAATGATAAAAGTTTTACTGTCACATATTTTTCAATGTGGTTTAACTGTTGTTGCCACAGTAAGCGATCAAGGTGCCACAAATGCGGCTGCCATTAAACAGCTTCTAAAAGAAACTAATGAAAACTGTGTAAAAAGTAATATAGAAAATAAGTTTTTAGGTTACATTATAGATAATAAGGAAATTGTACATATTTTTGATTGCCCACATCTTCTTAAAGGTATCAGAAATGTTTTATTAACTAAAGATTTGATCTTCACTCACGACGGCAAGAAGAAAGTGGCTTCTTGGAAACACATCATAAGTACTTATAAGCTTGACAAACTTGACGGCAGGTTTAGTACCTTTACTAAATTAACAGACGAACATGTTTTTCCTGAAAAAATAAGGAAAATGAAAGTGAAACACTGTGCTCAGGTATTTAGTTTCACTGTTGCTGTTGCAATTAGGAATAAGGCCAAATATAGTCAGAAACTAAGTGACCCAAATCACCCCGAATATCTTGACCCTGCTGCTCATGATACAGCTGATCTGCTTCTTTTTTTTGATGAGCTGTTTGATAGTGTCAATGGGCATACATTATACAGTCCGATTAAGAAGTTGCGATGCGTTGTAAGCAACAAATCACACCATATGCGTTTTTGGCAGGATGCTATTGCAGTAATCCGTTCAATGAGTTTTGTTGATGCCAAAACAAAACGTTCTGTTGTAACTCCTTCACTCTCAAATTGGGTATCCACACTGCAAAATTTTATGTATATATGGAAAAGACTTAGAAGTGAGGGTTTTAGGTTTATTGCACCCAGAGATTTTAACCAGGACCCACTTGAGAATTTCTTCTCATGTATACGGAGTCATGGAGTTCGTAATACAAACCCCACATGCGCATCTTTCACAATGTCTTCTAAATCTCTCATTATTAATAATTTGGTGTCCTCACATTCCCTTGGGGCGAATTGTGAAAAAGATGACTCAGTTGGTGCTTTAAGTACACTGAAGTCATTTATATTGCAAAAAATAGATTGCGGTCAGACGTTGGCTTTGGTAAGATCGCCCATTTACGCACCATTGTCTGATTCCAGACACAGTACATTGCATGACACGGCATCAGCATATGTTGCTGGATATGTTATGAGAAAAATTTATCAGCGTGTGCAGTGTACAGATTGTAAAATAGAAATGGAAGCTGCAATTGAGTTGGAGCCTAATGAACTAATTAGATTAAAAATGTATGAGGGGTGCCAATTATTTGAGCCTTCAATTAAGGCAATTCATTGTTTTGATCAATTAGCCACCCAGTTGTTTACTGTTTTACCCCAAGTCATAACGAAATATAATTTAAAAAGTTGTGTTCATGATAGGGTGCAGTACGATGCCGGACTATTGTTTTGTGATGTACATAGGATTGTAAATAATGAACTTTTTTTTAATATTACTTTAAATATAGTTTTGCATTATTATATTAAAATAATTAACAATATTTTATGCGGTAAGGTACTAAGTTATAAGAATTTAGACAGTTTAACGGACTTAGCATATAAAAAATTTCTGAAAATTCGAAAAAAATAATTTATTTCAATAGACTGTGATGCACCCTAACTTACCGCAAGGTGAACGTGCGCATTCTGAACCACTTCTTGCATTGTTGCATTGCATGTTGTGATTTATACGTGTATGTGTTATGTTTTTTTTTTGTTTTGAATTTATAATTACAACAATCATTTTACGTATTTCATTTTAATGTTGCTGTAGTATCTGGGCAAAAAATTAGAGCCCAAAAACGAACTTGGAACTGTACCGTATTCTGTTGTATGGGATTTTTTAGTCTTATTGCTGTCAATAGATGTTTGTGCCTAGTTTTGCTTAAATTTATTTTTCATATTGTTAGTCTTTCAATTTTACTTTTAAGTTGCATGTCGCGCCTCTGCACGCCTATGTTACCTTTATCTATTTGTGGCTGTAAACTTTTGTATGTTTGTCAACCAATTTTTGCCAACCCATTAAAACGTTTTTAGAGTTAAGTACTTAGTTCAGTTGGCATTTACTAGAAAAATGTAAGATTATTTTATAACAGTCCAATTTCTTTTATTACGAGCTGTTGTATTTATAAAATTTTATTAGTTAGGATTTAGATGATTTAAGAGCATGTTAATTTGACTTAACTTTTGGTGAAATCGAAAAAATAAAAAAATGAGACCATTTCCTAATTTGTATTAGTCTACATTTATCCACCTTTATAATTCAACCTACCTCAGATGATATTTACATAAAATGTTTACATTTTATTAGGTATTTTGTAAAGGTAATGGTCGGAAGGTACTTTAAGTTCATTCGCATTGTCACTGTTTCAGATCGACATACTTTCTAATTGTCAATCGTGGTAAATATTTAATAATTGTATGTGAAGTAATAAAACTATTTAAACTGACTGTTTAACTGATACTAAATAGTTAAACAGACTGTTTAAATATATGACATTATTTCAGATAACTGGTTTTGTATTTACCGCGTAATTGTCAATTAGTGGTTATGTCGATGTGATCTGTGGTACAGAACGTATCTGGGATTACAATCAAACACAGCCTGGATGTGAACCGAGTATTGAAATATTAATGACCCTATCTGTTGAATAGATGGCATTTGTAACGTTTATAATTACCAATTTTTTAACACAGAGATGCCTATCTATCCGTTGATGGTCTGTGGTTTGACCACACGAGATGTTCGTCTGAGTGGTTGTGTATCTTTATTCACAACCTGATCTTGTCTTGTCACATTTCTAGTTTCATTGCCAAGGTTCCTATCCCCTAAACTAACTTGACAGTCTTCTGGTAATTTATAGTTTAGATATTTTCGGGTAGTCTTTAAATTCAATTTAACTATATGTTTCCTATTTCTTATCACTACTCTATTGTTATCTGACCTTACTATTACATATGATCTAGGACAATCCTGCCTTATGCCTACTACTTTCCCTTTTAGCCATTTTTCTCTACCTAACTCAAAATTTCTTACATTAACAGCATCACCTATTGATAACTTACTCAATTCTTTTGCTTTTCTATTATATAATTGTGTAGCTTTTCCTTGTCGTTCCTTTAATTTATTTCTTACAT